AACGACGGCCCCTCTGCCCCACCCTCCCCGCCCCGAATACGGTCCATCAGGACGCAGGCCTTAAACTGGGGCTTTTAACGCTACCCACTGACCGGGGACCAGAACTGTGTCCTTTGAGACGCAGACATGGTGGGAACTCCCAAACAGCCTGCGGCCCCAAGCCGGCCCAGATCTCACTCACACACACCCCCAGCCTTCTAGACGCACTATTCCGTCAGCTCTCCTGGCCCCAGATGCTACCTCTGTCCCCCATGCTGGGGCTGAAGGACACCGGGCCCCTCTTCTCTCTTATCCACTGCCCAGAGAGCTCAAGGGCTGTGATTTAAAAAGCACCACCCCCTCCTCCCAGTCCCCCGGCAGCTGTCCACAAAGAGGGTGGCAGGGCTGGAAGGTGACAGAGACGGACGGCCACGTCCATTCCTCCTCTTCCTCCCCCACCCTGTGCACAAAGCACACACACGCGCACGCACACACCCCAAGCTATATCTGTCCCCTCCTGAGATCACACGAGGACAAGGAGGGGAGGCGGGAGGGGATCGGGGCCGTGGGAAAACATGCACAGAGACACGATGGAGGTTGAGGAAGTCCCACTTGAGATGCCAGGACAGAAGGGGGACTAAGGAAGAGGTGATGGGGGTGGGGAGTGGAGAATGAACAGAAAGACAAGGGAGGGGGCAGGAGGGTAAACCGGGTGAAGGAGAGGAGAGGAGGGGCCGGAGAGCGGAGGGGTGCACCGAACAAGCAAGAGGAAGGGAAGAAGAGGGGCAAGTCAGGACACTAGTCCAAGGAGCAGGGGGAGGGTGGAGCCCCACAGGAGAGCCAGGAACACATAGGCCTGGAGCAGCCACGGCAGAACTCATGAGCAGGCCAGGCTGTGGGGGGACCGCCCCCCAAGAGTGAGGCAGATGGGGGCTGGGGGGCAAGGGCGCTGAGGGGAGGAAGTCCGGGTGGGGGGAGAGGGGCACCTGCAGGACCAGGAGAAGCAGGTGCCACAGGGAAACAGCTGGAAGCCACGGGAGGGATAACCCATAAGGAACACACGTGGGTCTAGACTTGATACACATATGCGTGAGCATGTGCGCCTCTGTCCGTGCAAGAAAGTACATTAAAGGCGAATGTCACCAAGTGGTAACATTACAAGCAATTTTCATTTTCTACCGCATGCTTTTCTGTTATTCCTAACTTTCTTACAGCAACCACCTACCTTCATAACTAGAGAGAAAATTAAGGAAGGAAATTAAATACACATATAGGTACATACACACGCTTGTGGACACCCCACATGCACTGCCCCACACCCTGTCCCTGCTCCCGCTTCTTGGCCTCGCCTGCCTAGAGCCCATCTTTGGGACAGAGGACAGGCCAAGAGCTGGGACAGAGATGGCTCCGAGGTTTCCGGAGAAGAGGAGATTGGGGGGGGGAGCAATGGCTGCTGCATTTAGAGATGACCAATGAAGCAGGGGTTGGGAAAAGGGGGGTAAACTGGGGGCTGGGCGGTGGCCACCGGAGTCCTGAGGGGTTTGGAGCATGTCCTCAAAGGCTGTGGGGCCTGCCAAGGGGTCGGAGGGCTAAGTACTCACCGTCCAGAGACAACCAGTCAAGCTGAGTACTAGGCAGTGACAGGAATCGGCGGGCTCGATACTCAAAGAGCACAGAGGCGGAAAGGGGCCCCTCCCGCCCTGCCACCTGCAAAGACACCAGCCCCACCTCATGGGCTGGGGAGGGCAGGGTCAGCAAGATGGGCTCTCTCCCTGGTTCCTTCTCTGGCCCCCACGTGAAGGCCACACATGATCCTTTCATAGCCGGCTCCCCTCCACCCTTGCTTAAGTGGCCTTGGTCTTGATGGGGAAGGGACTCCACTCCATTCAGGAACTTAAAACCTCCTATGGGCCAGAGACACCTGGGACTGCAGACTCTGCTTCTTATTCAGCACCAAGGCCTGGAAGCTGAGGGTCAGGAGACACCTACGCTTACAAAGAAGTTTGATCCCCCAAGGTCAGAGTCCAGAGGTCGTGAGCCCATGATGAGGCTGGCGGAAAAGATGTAACTGCTCACCAGCAGTGTCTAGTGAGAGCTGTGTCCCAGGCTCTCCGCATCTGTGGCCTCGAGAACGACACCACCAGGCCGGGGTCCCAAGACTAGAGGCCAAAACCACCTCTGATCCCAGCTTCTCTGATCTCTCTTTTCCTTCCATGCAACGCTGAACCAGGCTGTTGCGGGGTGGGGGGGGGGGGGAACACACTCACAGACGGCAAACCTGTCATCCTGTCACTCTGGTGGCCCCTGAGGTCCCAGTAACGCTGACTGTTGGGTGCACGGTAAGGAGGCAAGGTGGTGGCAGACGGACCACCTCGGTGGAGAGGTTCTGTGTCTGCACCGCCCAGTGGGGGAGCACTAAGCCACGTGTGGCTACTGAACACTCAAAATGTTCGCGAGAGGCAGGAGCCAAATTTTATATTTTATTTCATTTTAATTAATCTCAGGCACATGTGGCTGATGGCTACCATACCGGACAGCCCAGATCTAGAAGGCAATGTCCTTCGGTCCAGGACAGGTTGGAGGAGACCAACGCGTCTCCCTTCTCATGCTCCCTGGACTGGAACCAGAGACTGACTCGAACCAAGCCAGAGGGCCTGGATGGACACTGGAGACCCGTCAGGGCAAATGCCTGCCCCCAAAGGAGGGGCGGCCACGGACCCAAGAAAGGAGCGGACCTGTCCGAGGCCACCAGTGAGCCGAGGACTAGATTCCTCAGACCAGAGCCTAGACCTTCTGACACATAAGCCTGGGGAACATCTGCCCATTGCGGGGACACAGGACTCAGGCTCAAGATCCGACAGGGTCGTTCCCAGCACTTCCTGGAAGCTAACCGCCCAGGTGCTATCCTGCCGTCCCCAGTCCCCGTGCCATCCCTGGTCCCCATACCAGGACAGTAGCAGCGCAAGACGCCAGGCTGGACGAGTGAGCCTGGCACCGCGATGTGATCAAAGACACAGGAGTAATGCTCGGCGGCCTCAGTCCAGGGACCTGTGATGAGCACCTTGACCCCACCCTGCAGAGAGAAGGCCGGGCACCGTGTGACCGGAACCCTGTGGGGTGCTCACTCGTGCACCCATTCATCGAGGGCACTAGTGCTGCAGGGCGGGGCCCTGTGCTGGATTCCGGGTACACGGACTGGGCGGGCTGCAGCGGGGAGAGGTCAGCTAGCCTGTCCCTCCTCCCGACGCTCCTGCCCAGATCGGGGAACCCACTGCTTCCCTTGCCTGAGGCTCCCACGGTCCTTCCCCTCTGTGGGGCAGCTGAGAACGAGCGGGACTTCTCCACTGCTGAAGGCAGACTCTGCCATCACACCCCGTCATGTTCTCTCCAGGCCGGGCCGCCCTAGTGCCCTGCCTGTGACACAGTCACCAAGAGGACAAAGTTCCCCAGGCACCTGGGGGACCCACACCACGCCACCTGGCCCGCAGAGGAGGGAAGGCAGGAGGGAGGGCTAACTAGGGAGACAGCGAAAATAGGGTGGGACAAGTGAGTGGTCACACAAACCAAGGGAAACCAAGTGGCGGCGTGGGTAGGAAAAATAGGGGAGCGAGGCCTGAGGCTCACCTCCGGGTAGGACCACTCTGGGGAGAAGTCCGTGATGCTGCTAAGAGCAGGAGAGAGTGGGGCGGCTGGGGCAGGGGCGCCTGGAGCCTCGTCGCTGATGAGCTCTCCCATGAGGTCAGGGAATGACGAGAGACCGAAGGGCTCCAGTTCGCTGGCCCCAGCAGCTCCTCCAAACAAGGCCTCCCCTCTGCCTCCCCTGCCTGCTGGCTCCAAGGGGGCAGGTGAAGGTGGGGGTGAAGGAGGGGGTGAAGGTGCGGGTGGGGCAGCCCCCTGGGCCTTGAGCTCCTCCCCGCTACCGTCATCTTGAATAAAGAAACGGTTTCCTCTTCTCCCACCTGCTCCAGGCGGTGGAGGGGGACCCCGAGCAGCCGCCTGGGGCTCCAGGGCAGCAGCGGGTTCTAGGGCAGGGCAGGGGGTGTGGGCGGCCTCTGCCTCGGGGAAGTCCGGGCTCACCCCCTGGCCCCCTCCGTATGTCTGGCCCCTCTGGGGGCTGTTGAGAAAACGATCGGGGTCGAAAGCAGGGCTGGGAGGAGCTGGTGGGGCAGGGGGCTCGGATCCTACAACCACGGCCAAGCTCACGGAAGGCCCGGGGTCAGCTTGGGGGGCCAAGTGCCTGGTGGGTGTCAGGCCCCCAGTGCGCTGCTCCAGTCCCGTCAGGAGGAGGATTGCAGTGCCTCCTCTGGATGACGCCCCTCGAGAGGTGGGTGGGCTAGGTCTGATCTCTAGGGGTTCCGCAAAGCCTGAGGAAGAGGAGGAAGAGGAGGAGGAAGAAGAAGGGGAAGTATGTGCCTTGGGGAGCTCTGGGGGAAGAGGGGCGATCAGCGGAGGAGGCTCAGGGGGGTGGGGGTGGGAGACAGAGGTCAGGGTTAAAGCTCGGGGCTCCACTTTGGGAGAGATGATGCGGTGTTTCGTGCTGCTGCATTTGTGGGTGAGGCTCCCGGAACCTGCAGCGGAAAAGGGTGGGAGGAGAAAAGGGAAAGGACACCTCATTCTCCACCTTCCCTTACCGGCAGCCTCCAGGCGTTTCCTGGCCCTTTGCGGGTGTACGAGATGTAATACCGACTGTGGCCACTGGGAGGCAGAAGCGGTGCCCCTTCTCCCCAAATTAACAGGACTGCAGGAGCCCGCAGAAGTAGCTGAGAGAGACTCGTAAAGGCACAGAAACAGGACAAGAGAACAGAACCGAGGCGGTACCGTCTAGGTGTCAACCGCCGGGCTGGGGTGGCCCAGAGTTGCTAAGAGTAGGGCACAGAGAAGGAGCCAGGGCTGCTGGAACTCCGGGGAAAGGAGCCCGTGTGCAGCCAGCCGGGAAGGCCTCTGCTCCTTTGGCCCAGCTTTCTGGGACGTGCAAAAGACATGCAAATCCGCATGCAAATC